ACTGCGGCCGCCACCGGCCTCCAGGCGAGTACCCTCCTCCCTCTCCCTCCCGGCCACCAGGCGCCCGCGGGCGTCCGGGCGCTGCCCGCCGCGAGGCGGGAGAAGAGCCGCCCCACGCACAGCAGCCGCGCTCGGGCGGCGCCGGGACACCTTCCTCAGGTCGCGACTTTGGCGGGGGAGGGCTTTGCGAGGCGTGGCGGGACGCTTTGCTCCCTGAATCCGTCGTTGGGGCGGAGGTGGGGGGCAGCGCGAGGAAATTCGAGTTGATGCTTCCCCACCACCCCGTGGATTTGGGGCGTACTTTATTGGGCAGTGATTCTTTTTTTTCCTTTCTGAGGATGCTTAACTGACGCTTACCTCCCCATCCCCTCAGGGGATAACAGCGCGTCACAGGGTTTCCCTTGGGGAAGCGCCTGGAAGTGAGTGCGAGCGCGCTAGTGGGGCAGCTACAGGTGTCTGAGAGCCACCTTTTTCCTACCTGGCCTGGAGCCTTCTCCCTCCAGGGGTGGGAACTGTTTCACTTTCTGCTGAGCTTCTCTTTAACCAGATTAAAAGGGCCTCTGAGTTTCTGTTGGCGCCGTCAGCGCTCGCAGTGTCTGGAGCGGACAGGAGCTGGCGTCTTGGATTTGCGCGGCCGAGGGGGGCTCTGGGTAATTGAGAGTGCGTGGGGCTGCGTGAGCTGCCTCCCGCGGGACCTCGGCCCGGGAGCCTGAGAACTCCGCTCACCTGGGCGCGCGGACGGGCCCGCAGGTGCTCGTCAGCGCGCGCAGCCCGAGAGCGGGGGTCTGTGCCCTCAGCGCGGCGACGTTCCAGAACTTTTTTTTTCCTCCCCACTTTCGGACCCATTTGTAAGGGAGGGGCCGAGCTTGTTAACGTGCTGGGCGTTGTCAGTCTTCACGGGCTGCATCGCAAGGTTCTTCTGTAGGGAACTCAATCAAAACTGAGTTGGACATCTTTCTGTTGGATAAAGGCCACTGAATTCCAGGCATTCTTCGAGCTTGAGAAGAGTATTTTCAAGACTATTTTGAAGTCTGCATGAGGGTTTTCTGCGAAACTGGCTCTCTGTTAACTATCCTTTAGGTGGGTGGCTGTTTCCGCGTCCCGGAGGTGGGTGGGAACGCTTGGGAGGCCCCCTTTCAGCCGGGCCTGCTAGTCCAAGTTGCTCAACGCATGTTTACAGACGGTGGATGGCAGCTAAGTCCTTAGCCAGTTCTCTTGAAAGGTGTGATCAGCCCTCTGTGTTTCCTGGTGAGGAGACCGTGGTTCTAGAGGCTTCTTAGGTTGACAGGGTAACTGTCTTTGAAGCGCTCTGGAGCCTTGCTGCTTCGAGTAAAACCCACGGACCAGCAACAGCGGCTTCACCTGGGGCCTGTTAAATATACAGGCTCTCAGGGCCCAGGCAAACCTGCTGAACCAAGAACCCCATGGGGGTCTTTGCAGATTGACATTTTGAGAAGCACTGGCATAGGGTATGTTGGGGTGAGTTTCTTGTCCAGTTTAAAGAAGTGATTTACACTATGTTTCCCCACATACCTGACAGCCGGACGTTTGAACCTTCACCTCGCCAGACCCGGCGGAACACACCACGGCCCCCTGGATTGCAGCCCTTCCATCCCAGGGTGGTAAGCTCCCTGAGGAAGACTTGGACCTGTGGCTAGCACACTGGCCTGTGAGTGTTTTGTTTCTAGAGACTTATATACTTTTATTGTTATTATGATAAAATACACGTAACATAAACTTTGCCATTTTTTGACCATTTTAAAGTAAACGATTCAGTAGCATTAAGTACTTTTACAATGTTGTGCAACCGTCACCACTGTCCTTTTCCAGAACTTTTTCATCATCCCAAACAGAATCTCTGTACCTATTAACTGAGACCCTATTCCCCCCTCTTTCCAGTCCTGGAGCTTCTGGATACTGTTAATGACATTTTTTTTGTGTGTGTAGGGTACAGAAAAGGTTGAATTGGGAAGTAAAGTAAAATCATGTTCGTAGAATTTGAGTAAACACTTGGAAATTCCTGGGTCAGTGGCCTGGTGACCTGGTAACTACAGGTTCTTTTTTCTCTTCTTCACTTTTTTTTTCTTCAGTAAAAACTGGGACTGAACCCAGGACCTCGTGCATGCTAAGCACATGCTCTACCCCTGAGCTATTCCCCAACCCCACTCCAGGTTCTTTACAGTGCATGTGCTTTCTTTTAATAGAGAATTGATTGGAAAGAAATGGAGCTCCCCAGGGCTCAAACTTCACTAATTAAATGAGTGTAGATGCCTGGTAAAATCTATCTCAGCACTTCTTTTAACTGGCTTTATTTTAGGTGTCCTGTTTACATTAGATTTAGGTTTTGTTTTGTTTTTTTAAACTGACTCAAACTTTTTGAAAGTAGTTGGAATAAACCTTAAGACAAAGAGTTGTTGCTTGGCATATATATATAGAGAGAGAGAGAGAGGGAGAGAGAGATCATAGCAAGACTTCAGAAAGATTTGAAATAATTTTCTAAAATACCACTGTTTTGTTTCTGCTTTAATGTTAAGTGACTCTAATGGTCCGATGACATTATTTCTAGTTGTAAAAACATTTGTATAATTAAGAAAAGTTTTGTAATAATGAAAGTCATCTACTTGCATCTGCTTAGAATTGTCCAGGTTGTGGTTTGAGGACTTGCTTTTCAGTGAGGACAGAAATGTGAATTGGCAAGCTAATAAAAATGGTTTCATTCATGATCTAACAAAGTCATTGTTATAGATCAAGAATGTGGTTCAGAATACATAAGTGATCAGAGATATTGGGAAGATTTAATAAATAGCTGAACAGTGGCAGACCCTTCACAATTTTCCCAGTTTCTTTTTTCTCTAAGATGCTTTACTTTTCTTGTATTATGACTTTCATTACAATGAGGCTGTCAACTTATAGGAAGGAACTTATAGCTTCCTTTGATTGAAAAGTCCCTTTGAAATGTTGAATGAAGATAATTCAAATAGGCAAGATTTGATCATTCAAATAGGCAGAAAATTCTCCCTTTTCAGGAGATTCTTGTATTCACAGAATTTCAGAATGTTACTTCAGTAAAACTCTAGGAAGGCAAAGAGAAGGCTTCCCCTCCTCCACTATGTTCTCTTCTGAAACAGCAATGTAGTTCAGTGTTTATTTGGTGAACAAATGCTATGTTGTAATCCACCCAAGAGAAAAAATTCCTTAGAAAGTGTTTAGTGAAAGAATTTATCAGTAATTCAGTGATGCCTGGAGAATCACTTGGGGAGTTTAGTAAAAATGGAGGCTCTCCAACTGCTTCAGACCTACTGAGGCTCTCTGCGTTGGAATCTGTAGGTTTAGCAACCCCTTGGGTGATCCCGATGTATAATTAGGTTGGGAGTCACTGGAGTAAACACACACACATGCAAACTAAGATATTGAAAAATTAATCTGAAAGTACAAGACAATGCAATTTTATATTAAACAAGAAATAAAATTAATAATGACTTCTTCCTTAAAATTAGGTGGTCATTGTTTCAGGTTTGATGTTGAAGACCAGCATCACCTTTTGATGTTGGTCTCATTCTTGAGATCTGAGGTTTAGAATTCTGAATGTCTAGGAGAACCCACTTGTCTCTCTAAGAGAGATCAAGGCTTTAGACTATTTGGTTCAGCAACAATAAGCATTTGTTGAGTGCCTATTTTGAATCAGGTATTTTCGTAGTATGTTCTCATTAAATTCTTACAATGACCTCGAGAGAGCTATTTCTTTTTTTCTCATTTTACAGATGAGAAAACTGAAGCCAACCTAGGTCTTCCTACTGTAGACTGTGGTTCTTTCCATGGTCCTTCCATGTAAAATAATAATCCTCTGCCTACTAACTCTTCTTCACTTCCAAGAATCTATGTATTGATTAATTCTTCATTCAGATCTCTTGGAACATCAGGCACCACATGCTTGAGGCCTTGAAGTAAATAAAAAGATGAGCCAAAACAGAAATAAATTCCAAAAGCAAAGGGTTCTTTCCATGGTACCACAAGACCTCTGATGAGTGATCGGTAGATTATACTTAGCTTAAATGCAGCATTAGCATAGCTAGTCCAGCTCCCAGAAAAATCAAGTCATGGGCATTCTTATTGCGATCAGTCAGCAGTACCAGCTCTGTGTATGGTATCTATGCAGCACCGCAAGACGCTGCACAGTGTGGAAGAAAGGGCACAGGATTCAGGTGCAGAATAACCGACACTTAGCCTGACCAGCTGACTGAGTGGGAGTAAACCTCATAAACTCGGAGCTGCCATGTCCCCAAATATAAAGTTAGGGGAATAATTATCTCCCTCTATGATTATAGTAAGGACTCAAAAGAAACTTATTTATAAAAGTGCTTGTAAGCTGTAAAATGATCACAGAAACCTCTTATCTTTATTTGGGAGGAATTTACAATGCAAAGGAGACAGAAGAAGCCGCACATTCAAGGTGCCCAACACTTTTTAGTTAACTGAGTTTGTTTGTAATTCTCCTCTAGCTGTAGGCCATTTAAAAAAAAGCAATTTTATTGATAATTCACATGCCATACAATTCACCTGTAAAGTGTACAGTTCATTGGTTTTGAGTATATTCATAGAGTTGTGCAATCATCACCACAGTCAATTTTAGGACATTTTATTGCCCTAAAAAGAACCCCTTCTTGAACCCCTTTCACCCCTTAGCTGGTACCTTCTCAGCCCCTACCTGCCCCACCCTAAGCAACCACTAATCTACTTTCTGTCTATAGATTTGCCTATTCTGGACATGGAATTATACAATACGTGGTCCTGGATTTCTAGCTTCTTTCATTTAGCACAATGTTTTCAAGGTTTAGCTACATTGTAAAATTATTGCCAAATAATTATCATTGTAAGTGTATACCACATTTTGTTTATCCACCCATCTGTTAATGGACACTTGGATTGTTTCTAATAGGCTTTTTTTTTTTAAACTTTGTAGGGGAGATAATTAGGTTTACTTATTTATTTATTTAGAGGAAGTACTGGGGATTGAACCCAGGACCTCATGCATGCGAAGCATGTGCTCTGCCATTTGAGCTATTTCCTCCCCACTGGATTGTTTCTACTTTTTTGCTTGTTATGAATAATGCTGTTATGAACATCCATGTACAAGTTTTTATGTGGACATATGTTTTCATTTCTTTTGGGTACATACTTACAAGTGGAAAACAAATGTAAACCCTATATTTAATGTTTTCAGGAGCTGCCAGAGTGTTTCCAAGGTGGCTGCACCAGTTTACAATCCCATCAGCACTGTGTGAGAGTTTGAATTTCTCCACATCCTCATCAGTCTTCTTTATTTTAGCCATCCTAGTTGCTGTGAAGCAGTTTTGATTCACACTTCTCTGATGGCTAATGATGTTGAACATCTTTTCATGAGCTTATTTATTAAACCATTCTTTCTGGACTTTTAAAAAATCCGTTTCCAAAGGAGAATTAGTGAGAGCAACAGGAAATCAGTTTTGAATAGATTCTCTAGTTTCAATGATTTAGAAGAATACTGAGAATGTAAATTGAGCCCTTTGCTATTTTAAAATGTATTTCGGTTTTGGCTCATCTTTTTACTTGCCTTAGGGCCTAGTACATGTAGTACCTGCTGTTCCAAAGGATTTGAGTGAAGAATTAATGCAAGGGAGGGCAGGGTATAGCTCAGTGGTAGAGTGCATGCCTGGCATGCATGAGGTCCTGGGTTCAGTCCCAGTACCTCCAATAAAAACAAAGAAATCTGATCACCACCACCACCCCCTGCAAAAAAGAATTAATGCATAGATTCATGAAGGTAGGCAAAGATGTTATTCTATATGCTGATTTATTGCCGACTAAAAAATCATGTGCCTCTCAGATGTTAATAACACACTAAAGAAGGCACTTGGGCTGATGGCTGATATTTTAAACACCTGAACTAACATTGTTTGCTATTGTGTTGGTTAGCATCTATTCATTCTACTTATTAAAATATACAGTAATATAGTTTATAAATCATATTAATAAATAGTTTATATATTTTATTAGGGTACCTTGATTTTATCTTTATGTATTTCCAATAGGAGTGTGGACTGATAAACATTTTGGCATGAGTTTGCACATTTCCGTTCTTTCTTTCCTGAGCTGCATGGCAGTGTTCTTTCTCTCTAGCTATATGGAGAATCGTCTTCATGTTCTCCAGTTACAAGGCAATCATGAATTTTTAAAATACGTATTGGCATTTGGAAAAAGCAAGTGGAGTGTGTGGTCCTCACACAGTGGGCTGTATCTGGATCACCTGGAGGCTTGTTAAAACACACATTGCTGACCCCTTCAGTTTGGTTTCTTTTTCGGTTGATCTGTGGTGGGGCCTGAGAATCTGCATCTCTCATAAGTGTACAGGTGATGCTGATGCTGATGCTGCTGGTCTGGGAACCACATTTTGAGAACCAGTGGATTGGAGGCACTGGGAAGTGTGGGACTGGAGCAAGAGTCAGGGAAAAGAAGAGGCCAGAGGAGGGCTCGGGCATCCTGTGCATACAGGACCTTGGTGGAGGTAGGGAAGTGGATGTGACTGAGGCAGGGCATAGACAGGTGCTGGGATCCGAGATGTACGGGGAGAGGGTGGCTGGAAGAGAAACCTCTGGGATGGGAGAGGGGTGGGCAGAAGGTTCTGAGGAGGCAAAGGCAAGTGAGGCCCCCTAACTCCATGTAAACAGGGGAGTGAGGACACGCCTTTCCACCACTCCCAGGAAGGCCAGCATTACCAGGTAGTGGGATGTGCTGCTGGGGGCCATGGGGCCAAGTGTGAACTTTCCTTCACAAGATTAGGGGCCCCTTTAAGTCCTTCCGGCTAGTCCTGGAGTCATGACTGGCCCCTTTCCCTCTTGCCTGTTACTGTTAATCATAGTCAGCCTAGAACCTAGGAGCTTTGTAAGCCAGAGCAGGAGCCCTTCATGCAAGTAGTGGCCTTCAAGTTTGTCTTCCTCCCTTCACACCTTTGCCTGCTCAGCATAATGGCTTAAAAATCTGTGCCACCGGGTGTCTAGTCTCCTTAGC